AGTAACCTACAGGTCGTTGGAAGCTTGAAGACGCAGGTCAACCCAGAGAAAACGATCCTTTTTCTCTGGACAGGATGGTTCTGACCCTGAAGTGGCACAGGAGACGATGTGGACAAACTTGAAAGTCTCTGAAACATTTTAGAGAAAAACAATATCCACAGGGCCTTCTCAATGCATTACCTTTGCAAAAATGGTAAAAGCCCAATTTGTTCTGGTTCAAATATTGAGGATGTTGTGTAGATGAAGCCAAATCATTGAAAATGTGGTGTGATGTAAATAGACTGGCTCTGCATATTAAGACGAAATGTTTGCCATTCGGATATCAAAACGCATGCAATACATACCGGTACCGTCATTATTGATTGAAAATATTGAAAGAGTTTAAGATAAATCTCTTGGATCAGTTATTGATGGTAAATTATTGAGGAAACAGTATTTTATTTACAGTGAAAAGGTTGCCAGTGTCACCGGCAACTTTTATAAACCCAGGGTTGTCTAAAAGAAGCATTCATTAAAAAAATAAGTCATTCACTTGTATAAAAAAGACTACTCAATAAAGTTATTTTTGAACATAATTGCAAAGGGTTTTCTATTGGTTTTGTCATCTTTTTATTTTCAGATATTTCGATCGGCAGCCTTGATTGATGAGTAGTTACAATATTAAAAGCATTTTGCTTCTTCTCAAGCCACTTCAATCACTACATGATTCATAGCCAAATCATCAATAATGATATGACAATAACAATAACTTTGTTTGTTTTTGGTAAAATGACAAAATAAAATTCTTGAGTACAAATGCAACATACACTTTTCCAAATATAATTTCCAGTAAAAAAAGAAAATTTAATCAATGTAACTTTGACCCTTCGTTTTGCATTCATTCACCACTTTGAGTTGATCTGTCAGGCAAAATCCCAACACAGTGCAATGAAGTCTGTTTGAAAAGAATAATAAAAAATTCAAAGTACATAGATGCACTATAATTAGATGGAAAAATATAAGCAAACACATCCGCTGGTTGTCTCCAGATTGCCAACATTAGCCATGAACAAATAAAGGAGCCTGGAGGAAGATCTGCGACTTTCAGCTCAAACAACCACATGTGCCAAGGATCGGCCGCTTATTAGTGAAGAATCACAGGGGACCAGAAGAGCACAAAGAGCAGGCAGCAAACAGACATAAAGGAAGGAGCTGCGCAGTCTGTGCAGCACAAATAAATGTAGTTGGACCCCCCTGCGTTGGGAACATTGTATCCATGGATTAACGCCACACGTTCAAACCCAATTTAGCAGAACTGGCAGCGCCGACTGAGCCGTCTCTATGGGGTGTGTCCCTTGGTTTTCTACTCTTTGCCCTCTTTTCATTCTCCCCATAAAGCTTGTGGGTGAAACTGTTTGGAGGGGGTTAAGGAAGTACACTCATAAAGCTAATGGGGTGTGGCCTGGAGCCAATGAAGATACTAAAAAGAGGAGAAGGATTAAGAGAGATTTCTTTTTTAGGGGCATGAGATACATGAGGCATCTCATGTATCTCCAAGTGTTCCAGACACAGTAAAGGACATATTTCTTAATCTCCCTATAAATAAATGTTAATCTTAAAGCAATATTGCCCTAAAATGTGAAAAAAGAGGCACATTTTAGCTTCTCCTATTGGGTTAAAATAGCAGAAGCCTTGTAAATATGCGAGGGAAACCAGAAGGTCTTTGTTTCTCTCAAGGTGAAGTGAAAATTGAAGCCCTGGGGTAAACACAGAAACAATAATTTAATTATCCTCATCTTAAAGATTGCTATTGACAGAGGAAGGATGGCAGCACTCACATCTAGTTAATGACTTCCACACATACCTGCCTGGGGGGCGAAAGAAACATCAAGAGTTACATCATAAGTTTGGTCAACTGGCACCGCCTGCTACCTGTCAGGGCTGCCTCCAGAAAGCTTTGATAAACTTTGAGTTGCAGATTAAGAAACTAATGCCATGCTATAATTTGTATGAACCTCATTTCTCACCATGCCTGACAGTAGAAGTAGTCTTGTTGAAGTAAAACATCAGCACTGCTGTCCGAGTGAAATGCGCCCACAAACGTCCAATCACACAACACACCTCACAGAGCTACGTGCAAAAATTGTTTGACCCACACCTGATGTCAAGAAGAACCAGGTCATCCTAAATACTGGAGGTTTGTGGCTGTAAAATGGAACAGTCAGAGTCCTTGCACTGTACATTTATCTCTTTCACTCAATCTTCCAAAGGGGAAGGGGAATAAATGCTTTGTATTCATCTCAGTTCCTCTCCAAGTCCTTGGAAAAGGCACTGGTGAAGTTCATTATGTTGTGCAGAAAAATTTCATGTAATGGAGGCTTTTTGGTTTGTCAACTAGGTTTAGACCTAAAAATTTCAATTGACTTTTAATAGTAGGGCATATTGAGATGCATCATCTGGTGGTAAGAGGTCATGCCTTGTAACCACTCATGATGCAGACAATAAACTTCAAAGAGTTTTGCAAAACTGCATTTTCCAACTCATTTCTGGTGTCACATGTGGGATGTTTTGTCATGATCCTGTCAGGTCACAATGATCTTAAGATATAGTGAAAGAACAACAATAAATCATGGCTAAAAACCCATCCGAGCAGAGCAGTTTTTGGACCAAAACAAATGGAAAATTGACCAACATACTTGATGTTTATTGATAACTTTAACAAAGGCACTTGACAAAGTTTGTGTGTGACCTTCACGCACCCACCAACTCGAACTTACAGGGAATTTCAAGCCATATTTTGAGAATGTGGGAGAGAACATGCAAGATTCATACATAAAGACCACAGATCGCAAGGCAACGGTGCCTCCAACTGCTTCTCTGTGCAGCTGGCGCATCTTATTTCCATCCATTTTATTTCCTCTCTGTCAGCCAAGCCCCTGAACCGTTCAGGCTCATTAAGAACACAGGGGTCCACAATGAGCCAGATGTGACCAAATCATATGTGATCAATAGTGTCTCCCCTGGAGCCTTTGCAGGGTTTTGAACCTCATGGGTGCACAAATCCTGCTCCGTTCCAAACACCTTTAAACATTACAGCGCACAAAGTAAAATGTTGACTCATATCACTTTTTAGTAACAATCCTTGAAGATATTTTTAGTTTGGCCAGAAATTGTCATTCAAAAGCATAGCAGTGTTCAAGGCATATCCATCCATCCATCCATCCATCCATCCATCCATCCATCCATCCATCCATCTGTCCATCCATCCATCCCATCCATCCATCCATCCATCCATCCATCCATCCATCCATCCATCCATCCATCCATCCATCCATCCATCCATCCATCCATCCATCCATCCATCCATCCGTCCCATCCATCCATCCATCCATCCAACCTTTCCTGGAGTAAACTGCAGCACTAAATCAGATCTTAACGACTACGACTAATCAGAGGCTGCAATCTCTGACCTTTCAATCCTTCTTTGAGAGATACTTGCATAAATTTTCACCACCTTTCCACAAGAATCGGAAACAGGAATTCTTAGCAAAATTTACGACAACGGAGCTCAGGGTGTGTTATCTGCTCTGTTAGAGCCAACACACTGATTTCATCACACTGCCTTCGTGATATGAGGAATTGTTTTAGCTCTCTGTGGGTCACCGAAAAGGATGAACTACGCAAAACCTGAGCTGGGTTTTTTTTTTTTTTTGACAAATTTTATCTAAAAATTCTTAAATATAACCATTTAGAACTTGAACTGTGTGGGAAAAGGAGTTTAATCTAACATCGGTACATGACGTCCATCATCTGCACCGTCAAACCAGCTAGATCTTAAAAACATAAACTGCATTTTATGCAACGCATTGGAGTTAATTACAGCTTCACAATCAAATCTGCTGCAATTACAAAAAATAATAAAAAATTTAAAAACTGTATAGAGGGACTGCTTCCCTTGCAGTGCCTATGCCTGATTCTCCTCACAAAGAGAGGAAAATTAGATATTCTTCCTGAGTCTGCTGCATCAAATACCCCAAAGACCACATCTGGTCAATCAAGTTAACAATTATAAAGATTCCAAGATGACAAAAGATAGAAACGGATTAAAAAAATGTAAAAAGAAAAAAAAAAAGAGGACAGGGAACCAGGAACAGCAGTCATTTTTCCACTGTCACCACATGCTTGCTCAGGAGGAGAGATTGCTGTAAAGTTAATGACTCGAAACAATCACCTGGGCTTCCTTAGATACATAACTTTCTACCAACTGGCTTAACAAACTCAATTTGCTTTGTTTTTGTGACAAAGAATACACGAGATTTCACGTAAGAGGATTTTAATCTCTTCATGTAATTACACTAGACTTGACTGAACTGGTTGTATAGGTTTGTATTTTGTACCATTTTGTATTTGGGAACTAACTATTTCAGATGCATGTCAGTTTATTTTTATTTCCTTTTCTTATATATATATTAGTATTTTTATGACTTACTGAGATGGTCATAAAAGAGCCACAATTTCAATTTATTTTGCTTCTTTTCCTCTGTGTTAGCCAGCAAACTCTCAACATTACAACCTTTCATCAAAATAACACCTGGCAGATATCACAGTCCACATTTTATTTCGCTGAGCAACACGTAGAGAACAGGCGTTTACTTTAACTCATCAGCTGTCAGGGCCGGTTGGTCAACCTGTGTGTAGTGAAGCACGACCAGCGTGAAGCATCCCGTGTCAGACAACATCATTTCCAGGCAACGAAAACTACATCAGCACCCATTTTAGTCAAAGCGCCCTCCGGTGAATGCGCCATTCCTGGAAACCATTAAAAAAATAAATAAAAAATGATGTGGATTCATTTTTAACTAGTAAATGAGGAATTCTTCACTTGAAGCCACTTAGGTGCCAAAGCTGAAAACAATAAGACGTGTTTTGAGGTTTTTGATGAGCAAAAGATTTTGGATCAAAGGTCAAAGGTCACACCACTCCTCCTTGTCCTCCTCTTCCTCCCCCGAGGCTCCACTTACCTGTGTGAGATTGGGGGGGTCCTTTCAGATTCCTCAGCTTACGTTCCCGTGCCTCGGTCTCAGCGTGGTTTCTCTGGCTTCGTGGAGGATGGAGACAGCTGCTCTTATACAGGCCCACCCCTGCATCCTCCTCCTCTGCTTCTCCCTCGTTCCCCCCATGAACTCCCCCCTTTTCCATTAGGGAGGGAGGACCGAGATGCAGACTGGAAGGGCGGAGGTAAAGATGGGTGGTGGGGGTGTTGTGGGGGGTGGGTGAATGATGTAGGTGGGAGGGAGAGAGAGAGCGTGCAAGGAGGAGTGAAAGTCAGTATGATGACAAAATATTGAAGGACTGAGGGACGGAGGGAGGGAAAGATAAAAGTGCGAGAGCATGGGCGGGCGCGGAATGAGCGTGAAGGAAGACGAGTTTAAAAATAGGACGGCTTTAAATTTTGTTTCCCCCCGTGGTCCCCGATGGCGAAAAAAAGGCCTATCAGAAACAAATGTTCACGTCAAGTAAAACGCAAATCGACTGGTCATTGTAAATTAATCACAAAGTCTTAAAAGTTTTTAATTACCAAAAGAAATGATTCTCAGTAGCGCAGTCAAAGTGCAGAGCTGAGGAAACAAAGGGCTTCTCCCTTTAGAGACTTCCTCTGTTTTGGCGTTTGGTGGTCGCGCTCGCATGTCTTAGAAATTCAAACAAATTTTGATATCAGACATAAATAACACAAGTAGTTTTCAAGTGATTTTATTGTTGCTGGTCAGTGGCCATCAGATTTAAATTCAGGCTTCTTTTTTTATTGTCAGCCTATAAAAGTTGAATTTTTGGATCATGTTTGGCAGCATAAGCTAAAGCTGATTTATGTTTAATTGTAGAGGTCAGAATAAGTCGATGGGTGATAAAAAACATGTTTATTACATTTTTTTTTCTCACAAAGTCATTCTTAGATAACAAAACTGACCAGTCTGGTCAGTTCTGCCATTTGAAGTTCCTTTCAGACTGAGCTGTTTTAGGGCCTCTGTCACTTTAAATCCAAATCAGCTGCTGCTGGCCACACCTCCTCAGCTCAGCATTTACACTCACACATGAAAATGGCTGCAAACAAATGCACAATCATTTGACCTTACGTCTTTGAAAAGCAGAAATGGAGCTTCCTGCACAGCCAACACATTAATTCAACATCAGAACATCCAGCAGTTGTTGTACAGTGCATGCAGCGGCAAAACTAGCTGGAGCAAGTGCTGGAGCGCCAGAAAATATTAACTTATTTCCAAAAAAAGACTGGATGTATTTTGTTTTTAAATCGGGTGAGTTGCTTTTAGAAGCTGTTGACAACAGGAAGTAGAAGAATAACTGAATTTTGCACTGTAACCATGTCAGAGTCCTGCTTTCTTTCTGCAAGTGTCAGAAAACTGAACAAAAACACATTCTGACATGTTGAAGTGTGACAAAAAGGGCAAGAACAGAGGAAGAGTATACTTTTTTGATGCACCATATGTCCTATTACTGCTGTAATTATGTGTAATTCAGTGTTTGGGGTGTTTATGAGGGGAGGTTGGAGGACAACCATGTCACTCCTCCGCCAGTTACTAGTGACAGTAAGATGTCCTCCAACCCTCTTTTCTAGAAGTGGCAGGACTCTATTACTGTCACTCCGCTCAAAAACTCCCCCCAAAAAACTCTGCGCTGGAAACAAAAGAATCACGACAAGCATCAATTCAAGAGTTTCTCATTGTGTGTCCGCCAGGACTTCATTATTACGTGCATGCTGCCTGCTTCTCCCTGATTAAAGTTACTGTATCTTTATCCAACGGGAAGCAACGGCAATCACAGCGAAACACACAAGTCGGTGTCATGAGTCAGACAGAAAGTTTGGAGAGCTGTTATCAGGGCTGGCAGGAAGTATGAGAGAAACTGTTCCATAAACATATGAAGGCATTTCAGCTCAGTTTGATCATTTAGTAATAACACGTTCATACATAACCAGCTGTGGTTAACCCATTGTTCAACCAGCTTTATGCTGACTGTGGCTGACACTTGTCCTTCCTGTCTTTATGTTTGAAAGCTCAGAAATGGCCAGCCTGTCTAAAGCAAACCCCAAACAATCACAACACAAAAACCGACTTGTCAATTCCACGCAGACGGGAGGAAAATGGGACGCAAAATCATGTCACAGCCAACTTTTCATCTGCAGCGGCAGCAGCAAATGGTGAGCCTGCACAGCGAGGGATTCTAGGTCAATGATGGAGTTTCCATGACCATGACTGCACCAACAGCTTTCTTTTAAAAATATCACATTTGGGCAGAAAATATAGGAAAAAACAAAATATCTTCTAAGCTAAATACTTAACTTAAGGCTGTGTTAATATTTAGCCAACTAAATATTTAATTTGGAGCTAAATATTTAGCTTCAAGTTAAATGTTTATTTGGAAGTGAATAATTTAGTTGGAAGTTAAATCTTTAGCTTACTAACGAAATATTTAATTTGAGAGATAAATATGTTTTTATTGATATAAATGTTTAGCTTACAAAGACAACGAAATAATTTAGTCCATGAACTAAATATTTAGTTTGAAAACTAAATATTTAGCTGATTAATTATTAAATATGTAGGAGGGAACATTTAGAAGTAACATGGTGAAAATGTAAGTATGAAAAACGAACACTCACGTTTTAGAAATCAGGACAGGAGTCAAAATCATTTCACTGATCTGGCATAAAATGAGCTTGCGACTTTTGCTGCGTTGCAAACAAGGAAATGTCCATAAGCAGAGGTTCTGGAAAAAGCGAAGAGAACCTCTGGAGGTCAACAGGCTGTTATTGAGTTCGTCTTTTCTACTGCATGCTTCATTAGCAGATAGCCATCAGAGGAAAGCCTGCGGCTGGGTCAAATAATCCAATGGACGGACTTTATAATTAAGGCGTTCCGGATTCCCGAGCCTCTCACCCATCATTTCTGCTCGCCGCACAATGCATCACGACTTGATGCACCTTCAAAGCGCTTGGTAAACGTGTCAGGAATGAACCTGTTTTCTGAGTCGATTTCATTTACAATGCACTTTATGGTCTCAGAAATCTCAATGAAAAGAATGAATGAATGACACTAACCATAAAATACAGATTCAAACGTTAAAAGGTCAAAAGAAGACACATTAATGAACTGCCACGCAACAACATTTCCCTGTGGGTAACAGGCATGGTGAGATTTTTAATACTTTCTATAGACCTGTATGATTACCATTCCGCATCATCAAAGGTTAGTTGAATAGACAAAGAGGTCTATCACAATTAACTCTGGCTGGTTGTCATAAAAGTGCCAGAAAAAAAATGAAATAAAAATAATAAAATTCGCCATGATTTAAGTGAGCCAAGCTTCGCTCAAATAGAATTGAATCAAAGGGCATCCGATCGCATGCAAATCAGATTATTAGAAGGCAGACAGCATGTCATAATTAGAGCAGGGTCGACGTATCTCGTCAGGTCGGAGCTGCACGCGCCTCGGTTCTCGCGGACCAAAACAAACAAGAGGATGGAAATAAACCAGCAGATGAGCGGCGCGCGCTCCGTGATTACGCGTCACAATGCCGCCTTGTTTGCTTCGCCTCGCCGAGTGTCCGACCCTGATTGCGCTCTCTGCTGCTCTGCAGATCTGAAAAGGGACCCAGAAGACGCGGGACGAGCAATTAGGCTGCATTGTGAAGCCAAAGAGCAGCGCTGAAGGAGATGCGCGGAAACTGAGCCGAAGATTGGGCCAAACACGACTTTGTGTGTGAAACAAGCAGAGAAGGAAGTTCAGACGAGGACTGAAAGACAAGGCCGTGTCTGCCAGGTGGGCACAGATTTTTGCCTATCTGAATGGATCATTGTCATTCATTAAAGGCTCGTTAAGGCCTTTCCTGTGGGAAATAGCTGCTGGCTAAGTAGTACATTTGTCAGCAGCACATCACATGCTTATTTTAGCCTGCATCAAAACAACTTGAAGGCATACAGGACATGCATTAAGGGGAAAGAAAAGAGAGAAGCTCTCAATTTCCTCGCTAGCGTTTAAGATCTTGTTCTGGAATACAAATAGTAATAATTATGATTATGCAACTTTGCTCTAAAGCTGTCCACATTTGTCTGTAAAAGAAAAAAAAAATAAATAGGACACCATATGAAAGACTGTATATTTGAAATATATATTTATGTAAATTGTTAGAATACAAAAGCTATTTATGGCAAAGAATAAATTAAATCGCCCCCACACATTTACTCCCACTTAAAATGGCAAATATTACACAAAGGCTGCAGCAAACATGATGAGGATGTCGTTACATGGCATTTCGAATGAGGCTTGTGCTGTTTAAACCTCCGTTCGGTGCAGTAGACGTGGTTTTGGGCACAAGTGGATCGGTCCTGCCAGCTGAAGCTAAAGTGTAACACAACACGTCCCCAGGTCAAAGTGGACAACCACTGTCTCGCTCTTCTAAAAAAAAAAACAAAAAAAAAACACCACAGTAGTTTAAGACACTGTTATTTTCCAAACCATTAACCTGTCGTTGTGTTTGGATTGGACAGATGTTGCTACTGAAGTCAGTGATTATCAGAGTGGAGGCGGCGTAACACCAGCCATCTTCCTGTAGTCAGAGTCACTGCCTAAAACCAGAGGGAAGCAGCATCATTATATTAGAAACGACTTATTCCCTGATCGATACACTTCTACAACACTATTGCTGGTCCATCTGCCCATTCAGCAGCTTGTGCATGCGTGGCATCTCCTTTCAGGAGACGCAACGCCACAACTCGCCTTTTATGTTTTGAAGTACTTCCGCCACTCCAAGTGTCTGTTTTTGTGTTTTCCCCTCTTTTCATTCCTTATTGCCCGTCCTCCTGTCCAGTCAAAGAAAGGACGGCGAGAGGTTGCAGATTTGTCGGAAAGAGATAACGGGTCTTATCTGCCCCCCACCAGACGCCGACCCAACTGATCCAATCGAGACCAGCTTAAAACAATTCATCGACTTTTACACCTGAAGGAACGGCTTCAGGGAGTTGGAGGACAGAAGAGAGGAGGCCTGGGGTTATTTTTTTGTCAAAGCAAACATCTTGAAGGAAC